TCTTCTTTGTCCTTGGAAAGGAGGATCTTTTTCTTCTATCTTTTCCTCATCATCCTGCAGATTTGGTTTTTTTTTTCAGTCCAGGATAATTTTCTTCTAGTATTGATCTAATTGTTTCCTCACATCAATGCATCCTTTACCTCCTCTGAGAACTCCTGTTACATCCCTTATTGGGGTCTCCTGGGTCCATCTCTCAGTTCTTTATCTTTTCCTTATGGATATCTTTTTCTTTCCTTTTTTATTCTTTCTGTTTGTGATAATTCTTCTAAGTCACTATTTGTATCTAAACAGCAACCATCCTCTTACTCAGTTCATAGCCTCAATATTATCATTGGGGAAACCATTTTTCTGGGTTTCAGAAAGTTCTGTGTAGGCATGTGACTCTTGATTACTATTGTAACTGAACGCAGTGGGTTTACCCCTTGGTGAGTGCAGAGCCAACGAGCACCCCAGGGATGTGGAAGAGTGGCACAAAGTTTATTCCTCACAGCAAGTGAAGAGAACAAAGGGAGGATTCCCAAAGCTGTGTCTCCCTGAACAAGAGTTTGAGGGGTCCTTTTATAGTTAAATCAAGGTACAGTTCATGAATATTCAGTTAAAGAAAAGGTGGGAATTGGGGTTCTTTTAAGGCGCATGCATAGCATGCACACATGCTATTATATACATCACACGTTCAAAGGAAGGGCAGCCAGGAACGCCTCTGGGTGGAGGTTTTCACATTGTAATGAGATTACAATAAGCAGGGTTCACTCTTGGTCCCCCAGAAGGGGAGCTGGGTGGCTCAAGTTGGTTTAAACCAGTTCCTCAACAGTGGTCTCATCTGGAAAACAACTTAAAGTAGTGTTAGTAGTTGTGACAGGAAGCAGCAGCTTCCCTCCGCAGGCTCGGGTGCTCAGCCTCACTACCAACACTATTACTTAACATTTTTTATCTATTTTTGGTTTAGGGTGTCCATTCAGCAACTCTATTTTTATTGTGGTAAAACTGTATAACACAAAATTCACCACTTAACTATTGTTAGGTGTATCAATATTATTTTTATGAAGTATCTTCACTGTTTGGGTTTTCTCCGGTTGCTGGGACTGCTGGGCCGTGGTTGGCAGGTCAGCTCGAGGCAGTGCTGAGAGTGACAGAGCCAAGGTATGTTCTACCACTGAGGAGCAGCACGAGGACTGCCAGGGCCTTCTCTGGTCCTGGGACGGAGGAAACCTTCCCACTTCCAACATTCTCCCCGGCTCAGGGGTAGGACGGCATCCACTGTCCAATTCAACTTCTTCTTGACTCCTTGGGCCAGGGAGACCAGGGGAGGCAGAGGTCAACCTTACCTGGTGATTTGCAGGTCTCTGAGGGCCATCCTTCACAAGACGGGCCCTTTCTGATCCTCACCCCTGAGCACTCTGCACCCGGTCTTCTAATGGCGTTCAAGGGCCGGCCCTGTGGCTTGGTGGTTAAGTGCGCGCGCTGCAATGCTGGTGGCCCGGGTTCGGATCCCGGGTGTGCATCGAGGCACCACTTCTCCATCCATCCTGAGGCCGAGTCCCACATACAGCAACTAGAAGGATGTGGAGCTATGACATACAACTATCCACTGGGGCTTTGGTGGGAAAAAATAAAATAAATAAAATCTTTAATAATGGCGTTCATATGTTGGCTGGCCTGCAGGGCAGGTGGTCCTAGATCAGCGGTGTGTAATAACTCCCACAGAGCCTAAGACCGCCCTGGAAGCAGCTGCTTGTCAACACTGGGAGCTGGCTGGCTCCGGAGAGGTAGAAAGATTGGAGCTGGGAGTGATGGGGAGGAGCAGCATGCAGCTTGCTCTCCTCCCAGAAGCCCCATGTTTCTCTAGGCTGGTTTGATCTCCATCTGCTTCAGAATCATGAGAGACTCTCATTAACAACACAAAGCCTCTTTGGGGTGGTGTTTAGGTATGTGCATTTGTTCAGTCAAGCTCCCTGGGTCAGTGATGCTCATTAAATTTTGAGCAATACTGATTTGGAGAGAGAAGCCCTGACCCCATTTAGGAACTGCCTCAGGAATCATAATTAAGCACTGATTTTCAGTTCCTAGAGCCTGGTAAGGACAGACTTCACATGCTTTTAACATTACTTTAAAATATAGCCAAGAGTTTGAAGGCAACCACAGAGCAATAGTGTAGGAAGAGGCATTTGAATTTCATGGCAAAAGGGACAATTTAAAGCTAGTTTTTTTTTTTTAAATAGTGACCTCTAGACCTAAGCAAAAAAGTAGTAAAAAGTAAACCATAACTTTTAAACTTACTCTTAGTAATTATTTCAAGTAAACTATGCATCAATATTTTTTCAGAAAAATATTTTAAATTTTCATATTTGTTCTTGGATTAATGGGTCCAAAGAGAGAAATCCAGAGTATTTCCAAAGATGCCACAAATAACATTTTCTTTTTATAGGCAACATTTCAGTGGAAAATACGTTCCTTTCCTTGTAAAAGTGTTTTCTCATTTGTCAGAAGCTCGAAGGCTGTTTATACAGAGGTCACACTGCCTACTTATGAGACATGACTGTTGTAAATCTCAGCGTATTTCATCTTTGGTATTTCTGGCCATAGTGGTAGGGAATCATATCAGGCCAGTTGTAAACCACCTGACTATTTTAAAATCTCCGTTGTATTTATGCAATAGGGAAAATGGTGTTTTCCTATAAATAATTATCGTTTTGGGTTTGGATGCTACAGCAGGGTTTTCATTCTAGCTTTATGCAGTTACTGCTCTGGAAACAAAGTTGTCCTCAGCAGAAATATAAAACTCATTTGGTGTAATGAGTTAGTCTTTCTTTTTCATTAAAATTGTTCCTCTCTAAAAGGTAAGAGGTCAGGGAAGATCAAACTTAGGGAAGTCAAATTCTCAGATAGAGATGAAGGATTGGTCTATGCTTTCAGCACACCAGTAAGATTACAAGTTGTTCAACAGGTTAGTTTCGAGAGTCTATTGTGTTCCAACTACCGTCCTAAGCCTTCTGTCCTTTCTCTCATGGATTGTTTTGTGCCATTATGAGAACCCCACAGTTAAAAGCCAGTGAAGATGTCATCAGGACCACTGGGCAGAAACAAGAGAGAAGAGAAAACTCAGAGGAGGGCTTATAGGAGAGGGAACTCAGAGCTTAATGGCTGAAGATGGTTTCCCACAAGTAGCAAGGAAACGGAGTACACTTCAGAGGGAGCAGCACCTCTAAGGCAGATCATCCCAATCAGAAGGTCGTTCTGCTGGGCTGGGCCAGGCTGGGTGTACCTTCTGGGAAAGAATGTTGGGCAACATTTGTCCAAAGATGTCAAGGCTTGAAGAATGTGGAGGGACTTAAATACTATTTCAAGGCTCATAAGTAACAAGGAGCCATTGATAAATTTTGAGCAGAGAAAACATCAGATTGGTATGTTAGAGACTCACTGAAGGGAAATTAGGAGTCTCTTTGTCAAGTTTCAGTCTATATAGAGGGCTGCACTGTGTAAATCTGAAAGTTGCTTCTCATTGTGGGCTTTTATTTGTACTTTTGGGATGTGGGGGTGCAGTCAGCCCAACTCAGACTTCCCTATATTTGATTGCTGGTAGCAATTCAGAAAGGTATTTGGGACTCAACTTTTCATGGTCCATAAACAAATACATCAATTAGAAGAATCAGTGGTTGAAGATTACCTTGAGGTTTTTAACATTTCCTAAAAGAAATTAATGGTGTAAGTTCATTCATGTATAATTTGTTAATTTATGTACTGCTTCTTTCCAAAAAGATTTGAGGTCACTAGTTACATATAAGTAATCTATCATACCAATAATACATCATTTTTCTTTATTTTGGGGATAAGTGTTCCCAACAATGTCTATTCAAAAGTATTTTGTAAATGACACCACGTAAGTTCTTGAAAGTAATAAATCTATATTCTTTTATGAATACTATAATTCAGAATTTTAATTAATTGGAATGAGCCCCACTCCCAATCAGTTTAATTTAGACAGGTTTAAAATATCTTTTCCTCTACATTTTCTCAAGTCAAGATGGTTCTTTTTTTTTTTTTTAATTTTTGTTTATTGCAGTAACATTGGTTTATAACGTATAAATTTCAGGTGTACATCATTATACTTCTATTTCTGCATAGATTACATCATGTTCACCACCCAAATACTAATTACAACCCATCACCACACACGTGCCTAATTATCCCTTTTGCCCTCCTCCCTCCTCCCTTCCCCTCTGGTAACCACCAATCCAATCTCTGTCTCTATGTGTTTGTTTATTGTTGTAAGATGGTTCTTACAATTGATGTATAAAATGTAATATAGAGTTTGTTTTCATACCTCCCCCAAGCTAGAATAGTGTGTCTTATTGCTGCTGGCGTCTTCAATAAGGAAATTCAGTGTTGGTGGCTTTGGTTCTCGGCAATGCTGCTTGGACTATTAATTGACTTCTGGGACTTGTGCCAGTAAAATAAATACTATCATTCAGTGTGTAACTAAAATGCACATAGGATTCTGTGGGAGGATTTCTTAGCAAGAAAATATTGTTCAATTATAGTTCACATATTGAAACAAAAAGACATAAATATAAGAAGTTGTTTTATTGCAGGGCTATGCCATAGAACAACTATTCAAACCAAACCAGAGCTCCAGCATTAAGAGAAAATTTACATCGATTTTAATATAGTAACATGATGTAATATTATGCAGCCTTTAAAATTCATTTTTAAAATTCATGCAAAAATGCCAAAGATGGTGATGTAATATTACATGAAAAGGTGAAAAAATAATGCACTATGAAAGCAAATATATAAAAATGCCTATCTGTGGTGGCAAAACTGTGCTTTTAAGAAATTTCTTAATCTTAAACTGTCACAATTAGCTTTATCTGAGCTACTAGGAATTATTTGCCTGGATCAGCTTGACTCCAGCATGCTGTGAGGTCAGACTGCCTTGTGATCTCAGCTGGGCAGGTGCTGATAGCGACCTCACCTCATTTCCTTTGTCTTCCAATAAACAGCAGCGACAGTGACAACATGGACCTTGCCCACGTGCTTTTGCGGAAGTTTGAAGATCAAGATCTGCTCTGTGCGGGTTTAAACTCAGACCTGTAAGTAGCAGATTCTCTGCAAAGTGCAGACTCCAACCAATAACAACGTAGACTGAGAGGACCATCTCCCTCCGTGACTGGCATCTCATGTTACAAGTTTTCGTTACATAAATGAACATTAGCCTAATGAGTAGGTTGTACTGAACAGGCCTGATGGGTATTGCCATCTAAAATGACCTGAAATAAGCTACATAATTGCCCTTTCCTTCCTTGGTAAACACATGTTTTGTATTCTTGAAAAAACATTAATTAATAGCATTCAATTTGCTTAATAAAACTTAAAGCTAAAAGAATAAAGTCGCAGTTAAGTATGAAATATGTATCAACTGTTATTTACTTTTAGGGAAAACTTGCACATGTGAAAAGATTAACTATAATTTTTTTTAGCTAAAGGGACTTAAAAAGTCAATAACATCAGTTTGGGGGTAAATTACTTTGAAGACTGTTTTTCTAGGATTTGAAAATGATAATATAGAGATGACCTTTTTTATGAAAACTTGATAAAGCATGCCTTTCTTCATAAGGTTTTTTTTCTCTCTCTTATTTTGCTTGCCTGTTATTTATTGAGGATCTGCCATAAATCCGGTGCTGTTGCAGGAATCAGGATTGATGTAGGATATGGCGTCTCAGGAATTTACAACTCTGGGCAAAGCACGTGGGGAAAGTGATAAAAACCATAATGCTGTAGGAAGAGCCAGAAGTCTATGTTTTTAAGTAATAAATATAAAATCCAGACGATCATGCAATTTTGGCAATATGTTTTTCTAATTTGTGATAACACCTTTTGCCCATTAGTCATGTTGGCAATTAGCTTGAGACAGAGTAAGTATTAATGGTCTCAGTAAGGAAGAATTAATAGAAAATTAATTATGTTGCTTCACTTGATTCTTCACTTGAACAACAAAGTAATTTATTTAACTAATTAAAAGCATCTATGGTGATGCTCTCTAAAGAAACATTCAGGATGTAAAATGCATCTACCTTTGAGAAATGGAAATGTAACCTGGGGCCACACGTGGTCCAGTCCCGGCCCATCCTTGCATCAAAGAAAAAGCAGTGGGCAGAAAAAAAGGATATTTCTTTATATAGTCTTTCAAGAGGAAAAAAAAGTAGAATCAACGCTGAGGACAGCAGAACATTCTCAGAATTCTGTTTAGACGTCTGTTTTAGTTTCAGTCGCTTTGCCAGGCGTGGTGGTGGCTCCTGAGCTGTCTTCCCTCTCCGTCTGCACAGCTGCCCCTCAGCACAGCGCAGACCCTCCTGTTTTTCTCCTCAGCCTTTCTTCTGTCTTCCTGGACCTGTTTCGATTTTCTCCTTTTTCTTTGTGAAATCCATGTAGTCAGTCTATCTTAACTCATTCCTATTTTCTAACCATTTCTATCCATTTTCCTGATCAGCTTAACAAAAGGCTGTGGGGGCTGCCTTGTACAAGGGTGCTATGAATACTTATATTTGTAATGATTTCTGTCCATGTTGCACCAATAAGACTTAATTTACTAAGGTCTCAGATCAAAGCAGAAGGTTTTACTTAAGACAGGTAAGTTTCCTTCTGTAAGTGTAAAATATGATTGAATTCAGTAATATCTACATTTGCCCTTCCTGGAAGACTTTAGCAATCACTTGATTATTAATTAGAGGAAATATTTTAAAATAACAAGTCAGATTCTGCTTATTGTTTTTATATTGAGATACTCTGAGTGTCCTATGTGAGGGTGTGGGTGTTGAATTTCTGATTTTTACCTCTCTCTCATACAGAAGGCAGTAAAGAGCTCCAGAAGAATCTATTGTGGTATAAACCTGATCTAAGATATAAGTTCTCTCATAATAGTAGATGATGCATAATTTAAATTTTAAAATGTGCTCAAGTTGCCAGCTTTTAGAAGCAGACGGTAGATTTAAATATTTAGTTTCGTTTTACAAGACTCATAATCTGGTGACACTCCAGTGATGATTTCCTCTACTATTTCTGAGGTAAAATGGTCACTTTTCCCACCTATTCTTTTTTGTGTGTGTGTGAGGAAGATCAGCCCTGAGCTAACATCTGCCAATCCTCCTCTTTTTGCTGAGGAAGACTGGGCCTGGGCTAACATCCATGCCTATCTTCCTCCACTTTATAGGGGACGTTGTCACAGCGTGGCTTGACAAGCGGTGCGTCTGTGCGCGCCCGGGATCCGAACCCGGGCCGCCAGCAGCGGAGCGCGCGCCCTTAACCGCTTGCGCCACCGGGCTGGCCCCCCACCTATTCTTTTTAATGATTTATATAGAACCAAAGTAGTAGTTAGCAAATCTTATATTTCTATTGAACTTGAAAAGCCAAGTGGGGAGAAGTGTGAAGTTTATTTCCATGGGTAGATTGCAGCAACATGAGGAATCGTCTCAGTGGTTGGAGATTCCCAGGGCTCCTGAGGTTCAGTCCTTGCAGCCTGGCATGGCTGGTGACAGATTCTCTCCCAGGGGCCTGTAAAGATGGAAGTTGAGGTCAAGGATCAAAAGCAGAGAGAGTGTGTCTATCAGGCATCATGGTGAAGGGGTGGAGAACCCAGATTTTGGGGCGGCTGCCTGAACCCACATGTCAGCCCTGCCACGTATTCGCTGTGTGACTTGGGCAAGTTAAGTTTTCTCTACTTTTTGCGTCAATGTGCTCCCAGTTCTCCGGAAGGAGCAGCACTCATCTCAAAGGATGGGGTGGCTCCTGTGAAGGACTTTTGTTCCTTTAGGCAAGTTTATGTCTCAGAATGCTCCCCTCCTGAGAGTAGGTCCTTACAGCATCTCCCTCTGTCTCCGAGATTCAAAATGCACATTGGCTATTAAAAGCTGCAGGCAGCCCTGCATTAAAGAGATCTGCTTAACACAGCATTTCCAAACTGGAAGAACCAAGGGACCATTGTCAAGACATCTTTACTCTGGAACGCCAACACTGCAGCTGTGTCCTACAGAACACTTAGGGGAATGCCGTTGAAGGCAGAGTGATGTGTGCTTAGGTTCTTGAAATCTGGAAGAAAATGTAAGTAGAAATGTAGAGTTCCTCACACATCATCTCCTCTCTTTTCCCTTTTATGAATGCTCACACAGCTTCATAGTGAATTTTTGAACATAAAAATTCTTGGAGGCTGAGAGATGCTCCAAAATCTGTTAAATACTGTTGCTGGTTCTTATGCAACTCTGAAGGTCACAAATTTTACCCTATAACAGGGAGTGAGAGGCCAGTCCCGTGGCTTAGCTGTTAAGTGCGCGCGCTCCGCTGCTGGCGGCCCGGGTTCGGACCCAAGGCACACACCGTCGCACCGCTTCTCCGGCCATGTCCCACATACAGCAGCTAGAATAACGTGCAGCTATGACATACAGCTATCTACTGGGGCTTTGGGGAAAACAAAAAGGAGGAGGACTGGCAATAGATGTAACCAAGAGAGTAGCACTGGGGAAGTCTTTAAATTATTTTTGACATTTAAAAAAATTACATGGAAATTGTACTTTGCTGGCCTGGTTAATAGAAATGGAAAGTTTCTTTCACTGGACTGCAGGGTTTTTCCCTCAATGTTTTCACGTTGGAGCAGCACAGCCTGGAGCAAAGAGCTAATCTCTCAGAACTTCCGCTTCCTCTTGCAAAAGTGGGGCTAGCAAGAGGTTTTGGTAAAAATACCTAGCGGGGTGCCTGTAGTTCAGCAAGCGTTTTCTCCTTTCTTTCCCAACTTTTGAGTAAATAGGAATAATTATCATGACTAAAGCAACTTTTGATTTACAAACGTTAGTAAAAAAAAAAAATTTCAAAGTACAAGGCCTACAAGGAAAAAGCTATAGGGGAACATGGGAACGTAAAAGGTTTTAGAGTCACTGCTGCAAGTTGTTTGCATAACAATTTCTATTGCACGACCTTTCTTTGTAATGGAAATTTAATAATTGTTATTTTTTAAATGATGATTAAATTGCTGTGTCATACCACAAAATGGAATTAGCAGCTCACTGTGTTTATTAACTGCTATATTGGTACTCAAGGTACCTGGTTTTGAGACTAGGAGTGTCAGAATTCAGGACAAGCTCCCGGGGCCCCCAGCAAAAGTCCTGGGGAGCTTTGGTAGTACATTCAATACAGCCAAGCAAGTGAGCGTCATTTAATAGAATGGAAATATTGTCATTGTAATAAAACATTGTCATCAGATTAACAGCTCCAGCTGTGAAAACAAATGTAGGCGCTCTGCCTTCTGCAGCAGGAGATGATTATCTTGTGAACTGTGTGCTCCTCTGATGGAACTCTCTTTCATGGAAATACAATAGCTTTGTAATCTCAAAGATCATTCTGCTTCTCTCCTTTGTTTTGTTAGGAAGAATTCTTCATGCTGGCACATGGATCCCATTTCTCACCCGAAAGTCCAGGATTCGTGTGGCTGCCTGGTAGGTTTCTGCAGTGTTTTTGATCTTTTTTTAAGTCTAAACCTCAAGTAACAAAAATGAGTTCGCTCCATCTATAAAATCCTCATTTTTGTTAACTCAGTGAGCCTCTGTGACTTTTTGGTTTACTTGATTAGCTGTTCCTTGGAAAAGTTTCATTAGATAAAGTGAACATTTCTACAACACAGATGTTATACGGAGTCCACAGCGGTCTTCCTGTCCATTGGCTGCTGTCCATGATCATTAACATCCCCAATGGCATTTATTAAGCAAATTAATCTTCTTCAGTTAATGATAAGGAAGCTAGAATTGCCTTTGGGGAGAAATTTCCCAAAATTTCGAGGCACATTTTTGTCATATTTGTACTTGAGTTCTGAGAGCTAGATATTCAAAGCTAAGATACCCTTTAGCTCTTCTAACCATGATCTATTCATACAAAAACATGGAAGTAGGGATCCCACTGTTTAAGTGAGGGCCATAGTTATCTAGTCTGCGAAGGAGAATGAATTGAAATTTATTTGGAAAACTGATTGGAACTCATCTCAAAGGAAATTTCAAAAGGTAGTTAGCCTTTTAGCCTATTAGCCACAAGCAACAAGCTAATGTGGCAATCCTAATTTACAGAACAAAAGGAAAAGCAAAAATCTCAGTTTAAATTAATGGAGGATCTATTAAGGAAATGGCCACATGAAGAACACGTTTACAGGGCCTTTCTATTTAGTGGCCCATGGGGTATGTTCCTCTTAATAGTATAGCGACCTCAGAAAGTTTTCTTTTGGATGGACCTGGTCTGCTTTCTTCTGTTAGACAGAATGTCCAAATGTGAGAGCAATGACACAGCACCCGTAATGGACATTCAAGGCCCTGACTGAGCTGAAACTGTTGATGACAGTGTTGATGCTTCCCTTGTGGCCTAGGCTGTCAATAAACTCAGGGCTGTATTTGGTGATCCTTTGCAGGGACAAGCTGTCTTTTGCTCAAGATTTTCTGGACACAATGATTTTTTTTTTTCTTTGTCTTGTTTATTCCATTTACTCATGAAACCTCTAATTTTTCACTCTATGCTCTTATTCTGTGGCCTTGATTTAATCGTTCTTTTATACTTGTTCCTTTTATTGCAAGTTACCTTAGATATATTGGAATTAGATTAGGTGTCAATGGTAAAGGAATGAATGAATAAATATCAGAATGCCTGATGTTGATGTTCCTAAATTCACCCCAACTTACAGGAACTGTAAGGTTTCAGTAACATGTGTGTGAGAAAAGAAAGGCTTCACATGAAAAAGTTCCATAGCCAAATAAGTTTCAGAAATGCTGGATAAAGCTGTATTTAACAGGTCTCTTTGCTACAGCTCTTCCAAGATGCTGTTGTCTGGTAATGTATGCTTGAATTGACATGGGTTGGAAAAGATACAGCATTTTCTGCAAATTATTTGACTAAGGAATCCTTCTTATTTGTGGCACCTGTGTTCTTTGGGACACACTTTGAGAAATGCTGGTCCACACATTAGGAGTCAGAGAACTTCAGGAGAGAGGATGTTGAGGTGGAATTCATAAAAGTCCCAAGGAACAGGTGTCGCTCTGCAGGGCTGGCTCGAAGGTGATGCACTTAGGGTTGTGTGGAAGGAAGGTCCAGACCCAAGGCCAATTCTCTAGTCTTTAGTGATCATGTTGAGCCCAGTTTACTGTATTTTGTCAGAAGGTGAAATATTTCTCTGCCCTTAAATTCATATGTGTTATCCAGAAGCCCTAGTCTGCAAGAATATGTTAATTTCCTTGTATTTTTATCAAATATGCCATGGCTCTCTCTAAATCTACGACAATGTTCCAAGGTTAGCTCTACTTCTGAGGAAGGAGACACTATTTTGAAGAGACAGTGTGAGAGAGAGCTCCAAGAGAACTGTAACTGAGCTAGCTCTGAAGAACAAGCAGGATATCTCAGGGCTTACCTCTCCTTGGAGAACAGCACAATATGATCAAAAAACCTGCCGGCAGGAATGGGTGTGGCTTTATACAGAATGAATAGAGGGTGTATTTGCTTCCTGTGGCTACTGTAACAAATTGCCACAAACTGGCTGGCTTAGAACAACAGAAACTCATCCTCGCACAGTTCTGGAGGTCAGAAGTCTGAAATCGGCATCGGGGGGATGAAATCAAGGTGCTCGCTCTGGAGGTGCTGGGAGAGAAGCCGTTCCTTGTCTCTTCCAGCTTCCGTTGGCTTCTGGCATTCCTTGACTTGTGGCCGCATCACTCTAGCCTCAGGCTCTCTGGTCACGTGGCCTCCTTGTCTCTCTTCCTCTAATCTCGCCTGCCTCCCTCTTTTGAGGATACACGTGATTGCATTAGGGTTTACCCTGACAATCCAGGATAATCTCCCCTTCTTAACATCCTTAATTTAATAACATCTGCAAAGTCTTTGCCATATGAGGTAACCTTTACAGGTTAGGACCTGACATCTTTGGGGGCCAATATTCAGCTTACTGCAGAAGGTATATGTAGGGAGAACTAAACAGATAAGGTTAGAAAGAGAGACAGAACATTTTCTAGTGGTCTTGACTTCTTGATAGGAATTTGAATTTTTCAGCAAAGGAGTCATCTAAATGAAAACAGCGTTTTAGAAAGATGTATCCTGATGGAGTGATAAGTGGATTGGAGAGAGAGGGTAGAGGCAGGGAAACTGTAAAGGTGGTTATGTTAACCTGTGAAGGAGATCAGTGAGTTTGGCTGAATTATAGTTGATAACGACTGTTATTTCTTTTAGCGTCTTTCCCTAAGCCTTCGTATCAAAAACCTGCAAGTAATACCTTAAATTTCTGTAGTACTCCTACTCTGCCATAGTTCTTTTATGTATGTCGGACCCTAACAGAAACCAATGAGTTGGGTAAGGTTGGTATTATTTCCATTTTGCAAATGAGAATACAAACTTCAGAAGCTGAAGCGAAAGGTCCAGAGAAAGCGTCGTTTCCTGGAGTCGCCAACTGGTTTAGTGTGTGATCTTTCCAGAACTGTTCTGGGAAAGGGAGAGAAAGCACATGGAGTCTGGATCCCCGCAGTGGCTGGGCCGGGGCACCACTGTGCCGCCCCTGTGGCCCCAGGTCCTGGTTGCGCTGCGGGCGCGAGGCCTCGAACCCTGTGGAGCGATTATTTCCTGATTCTGAGCCAGTGTCAGCACTTGAGTGAGTCACTGGAGAAGAGCTGTTTGATTTCCACTTGAGGCACTTAGGAAAGAAACACATGCCTTTGAATTCTCTTGCTCATCATCCTCCCACTCATTGCCTCTGGCTTTGTTTCAGGTTCATCAAATGCAGGATCACCCCGGTGAAAACATTTTTCCTTTTTAAGTTCTGACAAATCTGCTCAAACTTAACATACAGAGAAGGATTTGAAGTTCCCAAATGTAATTGACACAAAGGTCACAGTGGAATTCTGGTATAGTTCTCAAATGTAGGTGACTTTTAAAGAGATTTGAGAAATCAGAAGATATAAAAGGCCATAGATAATTTATCAAAAAATGAAAGCTAGGAAAAGTCACGTTTAGTGTAAAACAATGTCAGAAAGCCTGCTTGTGGGTTATAAATAAGTTTCTATATTATCTCTTTGAAAACAATTACAGAAGTGTCCGAATGGAAGTGCCCGGGCTCCTTACCTGACCAACCGCCTGGGCCACACGCTGCTGAACCTCTCAGCCCTGCCCCTGGAGGAGTATTTGCTGGCGCCATCTGAAAAACCACGGTGAGTTCAAAATTGTCTCTGGAATTACTGTGGAAATCTTATTGTGTCAAGTGCTAATGTTCTTAGAAACTCAAAAGTCAAATACTAACCTTGATGCTCATAAAAATTCCAAAGAAATCCTGCAAGCCTTAACAGGATTCTCACTGCTGGCTTTCACTCTTTCACGCCGGGGGAAATCCTCTCAGTAGAGACTCACTCGGGGGAGCCAGAGGCAGGGTTGCTGCTTTAGAGAATAAGCACAGATAAGTTAGCAGCATAATGAAATAATGGTCTCCCTTGAGAATTCCCTCTACTGTGCAGCTTCCAACACGGGAGCCTGGGTGCAACTTCTGTCTTAAAGTTCCTCTTGGGTGATTTTTGGGAAATCCTTTGTTTTGTGCTGAATTTCCTTGATCCTGAGGGGTGAATCTAGATGAAGGGGTAAGGAATGAGTGCTGCTTGTTGCTTTAAATCACTATCACATTTGCTACTCCATCAAATGTCCTGAGTCCCCAAACGCATCCTGTTGCTTCAATACAAAAGCGTCCCATGGTGCCTGGGACAGCCGCTGCCCTTTCTACCTGTCACCTCTTTATGTTTCCTGTCCCAGCAGCATCATCCTCCTTGGACATCCCAGGCTCCCGGTGTGCTTAGCCTGCCAGGTCTTTAAACGTGTCTTAGAACCTCTGCTTTTTGAAGGCGGGAGTTTATGTGCCCAGGGCTTAGAACAGTATCTGGCACATAAGAGTCACTCAATCAGTATCTCTCTAATGAATGAATAAATATATTGAAGTGAGCCAGGTGGGACTTATCCTTATTCCTTTGCTTCAGTTTTTGCTGCGAGTAAGGGCACTATGGTGGACATGTGTTCTTTAATCTCCTTTTATCCAGAGAGTGGGAAACAAAGCTTAATATGTGCCTTTATTTCTAATGTCCAATATTTTTGGATGCTTAATAGGTGCCAGATACTACACAGCCCATGGGATATGGAGACAAAAGATATAATTCCCACCCAGGAAAAACTCACAGAAATGCATGAAAGATAAAGTAGCAAATACACCATTAAAACCCAATGTGGCAATTGATACAATGCATGGAAATGTAGGGTACTCTGAGAACCCAAAAGAGAAGGAAATCTACCCCAACCAAAGTACTCTGGGATGCTTTCCCGAACAAGGCAATATTTTCATTGAGGATTAAAGAAGCAAGAATATTGAAGACAAAACACAATGCAAAATAGAGTAGCTCAGAAGAGCATGACACTAAGTAATTCGGAATAGCTGATTTGTAGGAGAAATGACCATTAATTAAAATAATTAGAGTGCTAGTGATCACTACAATGTCCTTTACGTGGCATGTTTCTACTAATAACATGGAAAGTTCTGGGCAATGTGGCAAGCCTTACCCATACCTTCTAAATAAGCAATGCTCTTCCTGGATGCGAGCCAGGCCATTTCTTTCTGCACATGACCCACATGTGTGGTCGCATCACAGAGGATGGATGCTCAGCTCGCTACCATTTTAAGGCCATTATAACTAAGTACAGTTAGTGGTGAAACACCCTCTGGCTGGAAATCCTGGTGTTCCCTGAGTAAAGCACTAACACCCTCTTTACTGTTATCAGGCTTGGAGGTTGGTCTTTTGGAGTACGAATCCCTGATCAAGTTCAAGATGCAAATTCAAATATATCACAACCAAAAACTCTGGCAAAGGTAATAATTTTTTTTTCCTTCCTGTTTTAGAAAGCATTTAGGGCAATTGATATCCAAATATATTTGTGGGCACAGGAGGAATCAAATCAAATCCCAGTGTTTGTTACTATGAAATAAAAACAGTTGTACATAAACATTCCCTTGCAAGAGAAAATGAATTCTTTTCCTTTACAATGTATAGAAGTATAGACAATAGGTTACTGCTTTTTGTTAAGACTGGGATTCACCTAATAGATCTGAAGCCAATGATAATCTATTTTTAAAGACATCCATTGTCAGGATAACTGGAAACAACACTCGTTTCCCTGGTGGCCAAGGAGCTCCTCCATACATGCACTTATATTCCTCTTCTTCCAGAAGGCTGGATGCACCCAGAGCTGGCGCTGAGACAGCAGTGACTGTGCAGGACTACTTGTAGGGGCCTGGTTTTCAAGCCCTGCCAGGACTATTCCTATGAATTAGGAATGTTTCCCTTGGCATCACCGAGAATAGGTGGGAGGGCTCTTCAGCTGTGGGGGAAGGAGGTCTGGCATGGAGGAAAGTCTCCTTTATCCACTAGTAGGAGCTCAGAAGTGGTGAATCACAGCAGAGGTTTTTCCAAGGAAAGAAGTTAACACAACCTTAAGATAGGGAGAGATGAAAGATTCAAAGCTTTCGGTCTCAGCGACTGAGAAAATAGTCTGGTGTGGGTCCCTACTGAGAGAGAAATGGCGAAAGAGTAGATTCTGGGATTGTTGTGTCTCCTTGTAAATCTGTCATCTAACCAGTGAAATAAGGTTGGTCTACGTGAGCCCAGGAAGGCACCCTCCCTACTTTGTGGGGGGTTTTTCCATGGTTCATGGGGACCTGGAAAAGCTTATCAGGATAAGGGCTTGTGCATCTTGGAGGTTTACTCAGTGGAATAAAGGCTCTTTACCAGTATTTCACAATGTAATCCCAGATGAAAATTTTAACATTCGTAGTTCACAATGTAATCCCTGAAGAAAGTTTTAACAGTTGTATTTCACAATGTAATCCTTGACGAAAATTTAAGTCATTGTGTAGACTGTTCAGAAATCCCTCCTTCAGCTGAGGTTTGTTCAAATGTCTCTTCCTTGGCAGACAACACACGTAAGTAGATTTATAGCTTGATATGAAAATATCAAGATCCATAGCTTGATAGAAAAATAACCTAAAATACATTCACTGGCTTTTTGAACATATGATGTGGTCATTATTAAAATATGCCTAAATTGTAAAGAATCTGTTCATTTCCTCTAAGAATATTTCAACTTTTAATCTATACAAATCAAAACCTTTCTAGTTATCACTGATGGTTGTGTCTTCACTTTCTGACATCTAGGGCACAGCAGCCAGGGCTTCCCCAGATAGATCTCTGCTTCTGTGACGAGAGTGCACACAGTTCAGATGTTTCCCCAACACCTGCTCCTGTTGGTCATGGTTCAGATTATCTTCTGTACTGATGTGTTTGAGTAGTGACGTCTGCAATTTTAATGTTTTTTGACATGTACTTTGCCAGGCACAGGCATGCAAGCCCATTGTATCCAGCCCTTTGGTGAGTGAGCTTCTCTTCAGGAAGCCAAGTAATCACCACTCTGCAGTGGGCTGTAAAGGGCGTTTGTTGTCTTAAATTCCTACAGCAATGGAGTGGTTGATGTCATGTCAAATTATTGCATTAACCTTTCAGTCATTAATGACTAGCCTTTTACTATGGCCTTTAAGGTATAAGCCATAGACTGTACCATTTTCATAATATGTTTGAAGAGAAAGTGGAAAATTTGCACAATAGGCTTAATATGAATAAATTCATTATTTAGTAGAATGTCTTTCATGGAACCTTTATGAGTTATTTCATTCACATCTTGAGTGTTGAGTTTGTTTAATCAAAACACCCTCTAGAATGTATACACCTCAGATAAAAAGGATGAAAACATCTCACTCCTGGTGTTTGGCACACATTCTGTTTCCAGATAGAATTTTATGTATTTGAATATCCGAGTGATTTTTTTTTTTTCTTCTTATAGCTACTTAGTTGCTTTTCTGAGGAACTGTTACTCAGGATTCCTCACATGAAGGGTCTGTTTTGAGGTGTTATAATATGTTCCTAAAAGGAGATTAACTTCCTCTCTCAGTTATTAGTTTTTACTGAGTCCTGACTTGTGGTCTGGCAGGAAAGGAAATCCCACAATTTATTTCCAGAATTTGATCCAGTGTTTTAGAAAACCATTCTTGGGAGAGAAAAAAAAAGAAGAAAAGAAAACCTCTTCCTTTGAACTCTGCTAAATCTTAAATGTTAATTTTAAGATCCTCATAAATTATGTATTGCATACTTAAAGAATTTATAAGATTTTTCCCAAGTAAACGCCGATTTATAGAACTGAAAGGAAGTTTAAGAACATTTTAAACTCTGTTCCTGGAAACTCTGAATCAATCATCCATTGCCAAAATAATGCTGTATGGCAGACCACCACAAGCCAGCAGTACCATCAATAGTAAAAATTTCTTCATCTCATGAATCTCTGGGGCGGGCTGCTGTGGGCTGTGTTTAGCAAATGGTGCCAGGCCTCACTACCGTGGGGAATGCTCCTTAACTAGGCCCTGGTTCTGCTCCCTGGGAGTGTTCACCCGCTTCCGTGTTCTCTGTGGCTCTTCACTCTGCTCTTTGCCAAATACGTCTTCTGTCACCTTCAATGTCCACGTGTAAAGAGGCCATTTGAAAATATGCCTTTTGAGAAACTTCTCAGCCTGTAGAGAGCTGGGTTCCCGGACCCTATTTCCATTTCGTGTGTAGCCCAGCGGGGTAGTGCCATCTTGACTTAGCTCCCTATGTGGCCCTCTAGGCTATTTATCTAATTGAGGTCCATAAGCCACACTCAGGGTTCTTGTTGAGACATGCACTCTCTCTAAAATTAATCATTGGTATTTTGGGAATGTTAGGGTACTACCAGGAAACACCCCTTATATTCCTAGAAGCTCTTTTGTCCCCTGAGAGAGTCGCTTAGCTCAATCACTCTTTCAGCCATCTTCACAGAGTTTCTCACTGCCACACCCCTGACTTGATCTTTATTCTGGGGCCATCTCTTCACTATTTTGCCTAGAGATCTCCGCAACCCGGTCAGGAAGTTGTTGGGCACAATTTCTAGCTTTGAAGTTACCACAGGTGACAATTATACCAGATGATTTAATGCTACGTAATATGGATCACCATTTTTTCAGTTACCTACAGAAATTTTCTTGCCATTCTTGCCAGCATTCCTAAAGGTTTTCTCCTATATTTCCAGATTCCTAAGGTTGTCTCTTTGTCACCCACTTGCTGATCTTAAAACCAATGTCACATATTTTCAGTTTTTGCGACAATAACCCTCCTTTCCAGTGCCAATTTCTGTGTCAGTTTTCTATAGCCACAATATGCTGTATAACAAACAGGTACGAACCTCAGTGGCCTCAACAATGAACCCTCATTTGGCTCAGGAGTCTGCAGGTTCTGCTCCTGTAAGCTGAGTGGCACTGACCTGGCCGGTCATGATCACTGGGTGGTTGGCTGGCTGATGGCCTCAGCTGGGATGATGGTTGGGGACTCAGTTCTGCTCTGTGTGTGTTATCCTCCAGCAGGCCAGCCTGGGCGTGCTGCCATGGTGACGGCAGAGGCACAGGAGGGATTGTAGGAACAGCCAAGTGCTTCAAACTGTGCTTGTGTCATTTTCTATTGGCCAAAGCAAATCACATGGCTGAGCGCAGAGTCAGAGTGGGAGGGCACAAAAGACACCCGACAATGGGTATAGATCCAGGGAAGGTGAAGAAATGGGGCCATAAATGGAATCCAACACAGAAGCCACAGAGCCTCCAGAGAGTGCGGGGGGAGCAGACTCCCGTGTTCCCAGCTCCACCACTGCAGCGCCACTTTGTCTTCTGTACCATTGTTCCATGTCATGTTTAAGTTGAAAAAAAATCACCCTGCTTTTAAAACAAACAAATGAAACAAAACAAAACAACGTTTGAAAACCCTTGATCTATGGCAAAGACCGCCATTGTCGCTCGTGTTTTTTTCCTCCAGTTAAGCAGTAAAGGGAGCCTAGACTTGGGGGAGAGGAAGGTCAGGGCAATGTAAGTGGGAGGTTCCAGTTTCTATAAGCAGGAGTTTTCTTACTATAGCAACTCCTCCTGTGACTTTAACAGAATCCCAGGTGTTTATCGTTTTCAGAGGTATGGCCAGTACTCGTGTGTGAGAGCGAGCAGGGAAGGCAAGGGTGAGAGTCAGGGGCCACTGTGCAGATCTGCACGGAGGAGAATTGCTGTTCCCAGCTCAAGAGGTGAACATGTCTCTGACAGGTGACATAAACTCCTTCAGTTCAGTGTGCTCCTCTGTGCTTTAGCCGACTTTTCAGAATTGTGTCTAAATTACACACATTTGTGAATTTGTGAATTCACATGTGTGTCTTAAACATTTTTTGTTACACAATCCCACTCAGTTCTATTTAGGTGCAGCCTAGGTGTCACAGAATGTCCTGGGTTCTGTGGTTAGTAGATCTCAACAGATTCTTTCCTCCTTGGAGTTAAAAAAAATGTTTGGCAAGGATTCCTCTATGAACTTAAAATAGTGGAAGAAGGGGGTGAATAATGATAGCTGGTATGAAGGAGAAAAGTGGTCTGTTTTCTGAGTTGCTTTATGAAGTGGGCTATCTGAGAACGAATTGGGGAATATTGTCTTCTGTAGATAGGGTTTATTTTTTTTTTAACTACATGAACAATAGTTTATTACTTAGCTGTTTCCATGAACACAATTGCTGCCACACAGGATTCTGGTTAAAAAACGATCGGTCATAGTGTGATGAAGTGGAAAAAAAATGGGTTGGAAGACAAGGGACTTGAGATCTAGTCCTAATTTTGCATAAACTGTGAGAACTTGCATAGGTTCCTCCGAGCGTTAACTTTCTGGGGAGAAGCTCTGCTTCTGCAAAGAGGTTTGTTGCAAAAGAGCATTGTCTGGAGAAAGGAGCTGTCCAATCAATTAAGACCAGAATTTGCCAGTTGATTCATTATACTTTTTGAAGACACTCACCAGCTTTCCAAACTGAGTATATCTTTAAAATTTTTTATTTAAATATTGATATTTTGAAATATAGATATTGATGGTTCAATTAGGATTTTTTTATGCTACTTATTATCTCAACTTTAATAACATTGGCTGTCTCCTATTTTCTCTCTCACCTTTCTCCTGCCTGATGCTATTTGTTCTCCATGCTCAGCAAATGTTCAATTTATTTTGGGAAATAATGTTCCACATTCAGTTATTAATTTGAAAGTAATCATTTTTTCTGATCATTTTCTGTGCTTTTAATTTGCAGGTCAAATTTCATTAGCTTACCAACGGAGAAAGAAAAAAATGATGGGCTTAGGTTCCTCTTTTGCTGTGAGAATATAATTATAGAGCAACATTCACATTTGTTCTGGGGAAAATTAATCTATTTTTAGCTATAAATTATATGCTTGAGATAAATATAAAGTTAGCAGGCCGAAATTTACTGCTCACTCTTAGCCAGGCAGGAACATTACTTTGAGAGCTGCATTCAGGTGCTAGTGAAGCTAATTGATACGTGTTCCTTGTTTCCAAGAATAGCTGATAAATAGACTTAAGAACTAATTTCAAGAGAGCCATTAAGTTATCTTTCTTTTTTAGGTGTGGTATAATCAGAAGGGTTTTCATTCCCTACCTTCCTACTTAAATCATCTAAACAACCTTATTTTGTGGCGGCTCTTACCCCCTGCTGTGGACTGGCGATCATACGGTAATGTTATTTTTCATGCATTATAATTCACTATTAAGACAATGTTTTTAAGAGTGAAAGAAGCAGAAAGGATTCCGAATAGGAATGTGAAGAGTGATGAGAAGATTTCCACTGGCAGCTGATCCATATATAAATATATACAAAGTTGTTGGCCCTATTTGGCATCACTAAATGTCTTTACTTTCTTGAAATTATGACCTCATCGGTAGGATGAGGGGAATAAAAGGTGGCTTGAGAGTTCTCCCCTAGTGATTTTAATATCTCACAGAAGCAACAAAAATTTCTCTTTTTAAAGAAACTGTTATATGGGGCCGGCCCCGTGGCTTAGCGGTTAAGTGCGCACGCTCCGCTCCTGGCGGCCCCGGTTCGGATCCCGGGCGCACACCGACGCACTGCTTCTCCGGCCATGCTGAGGCCACGTCCCACATACAGCAACTAGAAGGATGTGCAGCTATGACATACAACTATCTACTGGGGCTTTGGGGGGGGGAAATAAATAAATAAATAAAATTATTAAAAAAAAAAATAGAAACGGTTATATGGAATACTGAGACAATACAGACCACCCCATTACTGTTGGGAAGGTGAACATCATAATTTTTTATATGCTGGGCCTTCAACTCATCAATTATCTATGTTGATCATGGATTCACTACATATGCTTTCTTATTTTGGTAGATGACACAGGTCCATTTCTGGAATCCAGAATGAATTTATTGGTTTAAGGGGATAATATATGCTTCTCTTCGGGGGATAAGTTGTAATTTACCAAATTTATTCAGTTTCTTAAAAAAAAAAATGGAAAGAAAGAAAACAGATGTGTAAGCACCAACAGGCCATATCCATCATAATTTATTCACAAAATATATTTGTTGAAGTGTTAAGTCACATAGAAATAAATGCCAAACAATTATGCCACTGTGCTATCACTTTACTCCTATCTTATGCTTCCACATTTGTTTTCCTTTCTCCACCAATTTTTTAATAAAACAGATTTAATTATTTTGTGGCACTGTAATTATTTTGGAATGATAGTAGGTAATACAAAAAATTTAAAATGTGTGTGCCTAATAACAGTGCAAAAGAAGTATAAAGTTCTACAGATGAGGGACAACAAGGTGATATTTGTTGTCTGAAATGTATGAGGATCTCCATGAGATATTTAACATCTATTATCTCATTTAATTTTCTTGTCAGTTTTCTAAGGTGGGCAGTATTTGCCTACTTCACTGATTAGAAAACTGAGGTTCAGAGAAATCACCTACCAGCTATGGCTCTGAGCAAGTTGAGTAATGGGACCAAGATTTGATTCTAGGTCTAGCTGATAACAGAGTAGCTGATAACAGAGTAGCTGATAACAGAGACTTAGCTTTTCTAGTACCTCAAACTGAGTGGTCACTTTTGATGTGCATGAATAGAGCATGCTTCATGGAGGGAGGTTGGGTGACTAACATTGGATCTTGAACAATGGGCAAAAGTTTGACTGATGTCGGGAAGCTATTGGAGGTATTAGTGACACAATGGAAATCATAGCGTCTGTTCAAGTTATTTGGAGGAGTCCAGTTTGACCTCATCATAAAGGTGAGTGTAGAGGGACAATTGTTGATCTTTCTGGAAAGCTTATCTGAGGCCAAATTCTGCTTGACCTTGATTGACAGAGTGAGGAGTATGACCATCATTTAATAGACAATAGACAGCGTTTATCTATATTTGAGAATGAGAATGACATGATCCAAGTAATATGTTAGAAAGAATAATCTGGAAGCCATATATTAAAGGGAGAAGGGTTGGTTGCAATTAAGTGACCTGTTGGAAGGATGTTGCGCACAAATGAGAGGTAACTCAGGCAAGGCTAGGATGAATTCGGAGGAAAAATATGAAATTATAAAGTCCAGATAGATGGAAGAAAATGTTGAGGTATTGAGGATGGGGAAAGGAAAGAATTTAAAGAACCTGACAACTACAGAAATGTAGAGTAAGAGTTTAAAGGATATAAAATATAAATCTGAGCTTTTAAGAATGAATGACTAACTGGTCAATACTGCTGACATTATAAGAAATAAGTCAGGAGAAAGAGGCATTTTCAAGGAAGCAGTAAAGTGATTTGTACACGTTCAGAGCTGCTGGGTTTGCATCATACATTAGATGAAAATATGCAGCAGGATTCGGAACACTAGAAAGACAAATTCAATAAAGTGATCATGAGTAAAAACCGTTCACCATTAACCTTAGTAAAGATGACAGATTAAGCTGGTTGTTGAGTGAGATCCTGCGTGGATCAGAAAAAGATGCTGAAGACAAGAGGGCTGTGGGTGGAACAGTGGGAAGGGGACAGTGATTCTGCAGCCCCTAAAGCAGGAAGATCTTGGCACAGAGGCCAGGGAAGGGCAGAATTTCAAGAAGAAGAGCAAGGAAAATGACCAAATATTCCAGAATCATTAGAAAGAATGAGAATGCAGGGACTTGGTTGGTGACCTCTAGAGAGTTAGTTCAATGGAGTTGTAGGGATGTAAATCAGAGTGGAAGGAGTGGTGTAGAAAAAGATTGTTTTAGAAATTTAGGAGACTAAATGAATAAACTCTGCCTTATGGAAGTTTGGCTGTGAAGAAGAATGAGAAGAGATACTGTGTGTATGTAAAATAAGAAGTAATTGGAGGTTTTGGTAGCATGATGGGATGGAAGAGAGCATTTTGAACATTCAAGGGAGAAAAGAAAGTTGGTGGATCAATACCTGGAAAGAGGGAGAGAAAGAACTGAAATGGAGGAGTTATCTCTGGAAAGGGTGAATACATTTTTATGTGATACAGGAGGAGTGAAGATGAACCTATGGAAAGAACTTGGGAAACATGGAGGGTAGTTTTGGAACTTCATGGCAGCTGTCTTTGATCTCTATAAAAAGGAGATGAGACTAAAGGGCAAAGATGGATGCAGATAATTACAGGAATCACAAAAATTTGAGTACCTCTTATATGAAGAATATATTAGAAAGAGCAGAGATACATTAAAATTATGACTGAAGGTCAAAGAGATGCTCAATTAAACATACGATAATATTTTAGTGAATGCAGTCAGCATGCAGCCAACGTGAAGACATGATTTTTCTTTCTAGTGGTTTGGAATAAACATGAATGAGAATGAATAAGTTTTGATGGAATAAAAATAGACAAAAATTGAAATGCCTTATCACCAGCTCCAGACTGGAGAGAGAGGCAAATACAATTTTCAGGAGTTTCTGGTTGGGGAGAGCATAAGTGGGGTGTGGGAATAGATGTCACAATGTGGTTGATGAGCAGATCTATAGAACTGATGGAGTAGGAGAGAGGAGAAGACGAAGATGCAGTGAGAGAAAGAAAGGTCATAGTTTGAGATCAATGAAATACAAAATGTGTTTCTTAGTGACTGAAAAGAGGTGGGAATGAAGGGTGCTGAGGTAAGGGGTTTGAGGAAACATCAAGATGGACACCAAGTAAGATGGACCCAAAGAGACCCACACCGAGGCACATTATGATCAAAGTGTCAAAAGTCAAAACAAAGAGAAAATCTTGAAAGCAGCAAGGGACAAGTGATTCATTACATACAAGGGATCTTCAATAAGATTATTAGCAAAAACTTTGCAAGCCAGAAGGCAGTAACATGATATATTTCAAGTACTGAAAGAAAAAATTGTCAACCAAGTATGCTGTATCTGGCAAAACTGACCTTCAAAATGAGGGAGAAATTAAGATATTCCCAGATAAACAAAAGTTAAGGGAGTTTATTGCCATAAACCTACCCTACAGGGAATGCTCAAGGGAGCCCTTCGGGTTGAAATAAAAGGACGTTAGACAGTGACTTGAATTCATATGAAAATATAAAGTTTTCTGGTAAAGGTAAATACATGGACAAATATAAAAACAATATTATTGTAACTCCACTTTTTGTTCTTTGGCAAGATTTAAAGGCAAAAGCATAAAATGTAATTATAAATATATGTTGATGGGGATGCAATATATAAAGATGTAACCTGTGACATCAATAACATAAAGTGGGGGTGGGTAGAGCTGTAAAGGAGTAGAGATTTGTATGCAATTGAAGTTAAGTTGGTATCATGAAGGGTTCTAAAGAGACCACTGGCATGGCTGGGTGTGCTCTCTAGACAGATATGAGGACAAGATAAATCAGAGAGGCGGAAGACTGTGGCCTGTGAGATGAAAACCAATATCACAGAAACTAAAATTTCCCCTCTCAGTGAGAGAATGGTGTCATCACAAAAATATGTTTTAATTCACAAGAGCTTGTATTAAACATATAAGCCTTAAATTTGGCTCCAGTTATGAGCCACATTCCCAAGTCTTGCATTTGCTCAAACCGCTGTGTAGTGGGTCACTGTCTGGGAACATGGAAGCAATGTTGACAGGTGTCAATCAACTGTGTCTTGTATGCAGTGCTTCTTGGGTTATCAGATATTCCTGATGATGTTCATCTCAGAAACATCTACTGAAAGGAGTGGATTTTTTGTTCGTTTGTTGAAAAGTTGTGTTGACTTGAAAAATGTGTTTATTCTCAGTTATCGGAAACTTCTTCAACCATATTTTACTTGTTTATATCAAAATTTTGATTCTAATTTGGCTTGTTTATGCAGTCATCACAGGAAAGGAAGGTTTGTGCAATAAATTGGGGATGTACAAATCATAACACCCCAGGAAAATGCACTGTGAGTTATTATCAATGTATTGATTGAAACTTCCGTCAGCAGAGCTTTGAACAAAAATATTTTCTTACATCCTTTGATGCTTGCTTGTTCATTTGGGAATGAACAGAGCTAGAATTATTAGCTTATCATTCTAATGAAATAAAAGCTTACCTGATGTGAGATTTGGGCAAACCCCTTGAGAGCAGAGGCTGTGTCTTGCTCGCTGTTTTGGCCCCACAGCCTCACAGAACCGGGCTCGGAGGCATCTGGGAAATGATAGTTGAAGGCACGATCTCTGTACCACACAGACAACACATCCCTCTTCTCA